GCCGACGTGTTTCGTTTGGGTGCTCAGGCGGCATCTCCAGAAGGCAAGGGACGTGGGCCGTGGGCGGGTTGTTATTGGACCGTGTGGACTGGGATGGACCCAACGGGTAGCTGAAATGGTCTACTTTTGGTTGGTGGGAAGTGTTGGTAGCTTCCGCTTTTGTGTGGTTAGAGTGCTTCAAGGGAAGTACGTCCTCAGTCATTGGGCTCAGTTGTGTTTTTCCACAGCTTCCCTCTACAGCAGCCCTGGGAAATGCAAGGTGGATTCAAGTGCAGCTGATGGATCCAGTGGATACTGTCACTGTAGCTTCTATGACCTTGTGCTTTTCAATGTTCTGTGTAAGGCCAAGAAGGGATTTCCCATCCAAGCATGTTTTACAGTCCAAATGGATACGGCTAACTGGCTGCCAGACATCCTTTTGTTGTTTTTGGGAGAATGCTTTCAATGCACATCGGCAAACCTAGACTTTGTTACCAGTGGAAGGCAAATGAAGATTGTGTTTCCTTCCTCCCATGGCGGGGTCAACCGACAGCAAGAACCTGGCCCCTCCTGTTGCCGGCTGGTCGAGTTTCAATCGGCTTTCCTCTGGATGCCTGAAAAGTTGTCTTGAAAACCATTAATTCACATGATGGTTTCATGTGGATTCATATCGATTCAGAAGGATTCCAAGCCCATCTGGAACCCATCGCCGAGACCGCTCGGCCACCTCAAACAAGCCCCTTTACGGAGAGCTTCCCCCAGGCGAGCCGAGCATCGAGGCCCTCGAGGACCTCGCGGACCTGAAGGCGAGGGGTGTGTGCTCGTGTTTTTGCTTGAGAACAACAGTACCAATAGGCACGAGGGATCACTTCTTTTCCCCAAAAAAACAAAGAACACCAAGGATCTGGTTTGACCAATGCACCAGTCTTCATCAAGTGGCTCCAAAAGTCCCAAAAGGACGACCCCAACTAGTTCCACTTGGTCTTGCGGAACTTCCTCCCCAAAACCGTTGGGAGCGGCAACATGTGGCAGCTCAGTGGGAGTGTTGGACGTGTTCATCGACCGGGTGATGCAGCACGGCCCCAGGCTGGAGTGAAGGATCTCCTGCAAGATGCCTTTGAGCCGGGGCACCATGCGCACGGTGCTTCGATGGGTGCAAGGTAGCTGCACACTCCTTCCAGGCTCTTAAGGTCAGGAAATCATGCTGTTTTTGCGCTTGGCTCTGCCTGACCGCCTGAGGCAAGGCTCTCTGGTAGAGGCATTGTCCATTTTTTTGGCCCAGGACTGGAATGACGGAATGACGGAATACTGGAATCTGTAAGACTGATGGCATCTCTTTGGAAGCATGCAGTCTATGCAGTCTATGATGCTCCGCAGAGCTCAGCTGAAGCCTGTGGAGGATGTCCATGAAGACGCTGGCGAAGCGTCCGAATGGCAGGCAGCGGGCGGAAGGCACCAGGCGTCCGAACAGAAAGCCCAGCCCCTGACCCGGACGAAGATCGCCGCGTTCTGGCGGATTAGACCTAACAAAGGCAGTCAAAAGAATGGTGCCGCGAGGTCTTCTGATCTAGTTTTGCATGGCCAGGAGATGATGAGGATGGAAGATGCTCAGAAAGCTAAGAGTCTCCCGGCCTGGTGGACATTGGAATGTTTTTGGTCGGAGTGAACAGCCGTAGGTGGGAGGGAAGACAAACACACAGTTTCTCAACGACCTGGTGACCAACTGGCCCAAAGAGCTATTTTCTCTTTTGGCGGTCGACCTGGTAACCTCCCTGTTTAGAGACACACCCACACCAGATTTCTGGTTCACACGGTTGTGATCCGTCCGAAAAGCCGGATTTGACTCCTCACGGAGTTGGATTGCTTTGGAGTGCGGTTGGTCAAACACAAAGGCGTAGTAGTTACTAGATCACATCCTCCCAACATCCGATGGTTTTCTCCTCAATAGGACATCCAGACATCCTCGTTTGACTGAAAGCTCAAGTTCTTGGACCATGGTCCCTTTCCCAGCTTGGAAAGCCTCAAGCCTCCCAGCTTGAGGCAAAAAGTCTGATGGGAAGCACGAGGCAACGGAGACATCGATGCCTGCAACCCATACGTAACTCTTTTAGAACAGATTGAGGCTCGCACGAAACATGGCTCTGTCTGAGCACCTTCGGTCCAAAGTCTCTCGCTTTCGGCTTAAGCTATGACCTTCAGGTTACTCACTTCACTTATTTAATTCAACCTGTAGAAACGTAGGACCAGTAGACTGGAAAAAGAAGCGCTGGAATCTGTCAGTCTTTGGATACTCAACGCCCTTCGTTGCCAGAAGCGCGAGAAGAAGCGCCAAAAGGAAGAGGTCGGTACGGTCCATGAGCTTGGAACAAGTGGGAGAAGGGATACATCTCATCAAACTCAGATCCTTTGGTGAAGATCCATGTGCTTGGGGATATTCGCATGCGGAAGTGTTTGCACATCAAACTATTTTTGGGGCCAAGTCTTTTGGCTTCTGAGTCTGAGTCCGCTAAAAGCTTTTAGAGTCGACCAAGTAGACCAAAAGGGATTGGATAGTGCAAGTGAGCTGAAGTGCTTTTTGAAGCGAATGGTCGTCCGAGTCGCTGAGAATGAGGCCGAATCGAAAGATCAAAAGACGGACGAGAAGGTTCAGATGTGAGCGAGGGGGGCTCGGCTCGGCTCGGCTGGGCTTCTGTTGAAGCTCAACGCCACAAGTCACACACTTGGGTGGTTCGCCTCAATCGGTCTTAAGGACTTTCAGGGATTCGGTCAGCGAGGGGTGAGTGAGGTGGTGCTGATGGGTTTTTGGTTTGCTAGGAAATCTTCTTTGTTATATAAATGATAGGACCTGATAGGATGAGAGTATATGAGATTTCCACGCAGGGACCAGAAATGACAACAATGCAGCTAGGTTGGGATTGCTGTTAGATCCTGTAGTGGTGAGGCCCATAGTCCCAGACCTTCTTTGTTTGTCAAGTGACTCAAAGGGCCGAGGTGAGTCCCAGACCGACTCATCCGGCGTTGTTGAGAAAAGCGTTTCAAACATGAGGATGATCGACGAAGGAGTCGTGGATTCACGAATCCAGTTGGAGGTTTGGGTCTTGAGTCCGAGCACTGACCCAGCACTGAGAGAAGTGTTGTTGCATGAGAGATAGGGGTTTTTGGGGTTCTTTGTTTGTCGTGAGTGTTTTCAGTTGCGTGGTACCTCGGATTGAGAACGTCGGTCTGTTGGCCGCTTGCTTGATAGGATCTTCCTCCTCTAAAGCCGCGACTCAAGTTGGCTCCATTGGCCGGGCCCCCAAGATGTCCCATTTGCACATGTCACATGTCCATTTCATCAGAGATCACGAAAGGTAGCCTTGAGGTGGCTACCTTCAGTTCGTCTTGCGAAGCCAGGGTTGGGTCGTCAGGCTTGATTGGGGCAAATGAAGGCGTCTTCAAGTACTACGAATGTTCATCTCGGATCAATTCACGGTTCTGGGACAGTTTCATAAAGAGATTCGACCAAGACAAAAGCATAGGCCCAAGAAGCAGAAACGCCTGCTGCTGCGCCCGAATTGGTTCCAAGTCTACTGGCTAAGGTTGCTTCAAAATCACCCAAAGATGAAACTGCCTGCTTTTAGTGCTAGGATTGTAAGGCACGAACGAGGGGCCAAAGAGACCCTAGACAAAAAATCACAGGTAAAGCCAAGCGAACCCTGCCCTCAACGCGCGCTGCGGGTCCGGATCAAGGTGGTGCCTGGCGGTGCTCCCAACGACGAGCCCGCAAGTGGAGGTGGGTGAAGCACCAGCTTTGTGGTGAGGTTTCAGGGGTTTCCTTGTGTTGTTTCTTGTGTGCTTTCTCCTTTGTTTTCCGGATCTTTTTAAGGGCTCTCGGAAGCACTTGGATGAATCGCCCTTTTTGTAGGTGTTTCAATCATGTTTCTCAGTCTCTTTGGTTTGGGAAAGCACACAAGATAGACTCAAACCTTTGAATTGGAGGATGAGAGGGACCCTCTCCTGGTTTGTAATGATATATACTATGTACCAACAAGGGGTCACTGCCAATGCCTTAGAAAGAATAAATACAGAAGAGTTTGTGCTAGTTGATGCTAGCTCTGATACTCTCCGGGGCGTTCGCTCAACCGAATGAGAATGAGCCGACAGGATGACCCGTGAAGGGTTCTGTGCATCCTCCGTTTGGACCGGTCAGCAGCTCGACTGTGAGAGTACGAGAAGCGCTTGGTGTCATGTCTTCGTCAGAGATCTACTGTAGTTGCTTCAGTTGCATGAGTGGAAACGCGTCCTAAACCTATCAGGTCATTTGTTGTAGGTGTTACATGAACAACTAGAACACATGTCAACAGATCTATATACTCTGTCTAGAAAACAGAAGAACACCCGACTGCGGTTGCTTCTCTTTGGTTCTTTGATCCACATCAGGATCTTTGTAGACAGCCTTCTGCTGTGAAGCTGAGTAGGAATTAAAGGAATGGGCCTCTCGGACTGGGAAGCCAAGCTGAGAAGTGCCGCTGAGTCCAGCACCAAATGGTGCCCGATAGATAGACCTGCCAAAGTTTGCACTGGAAAAAGGTTGACTGACGTTGTTTGTTGGATTCATGAAGGAGTCTCAAAGTGGCCTCCATGTTGTGGGGTCTACTAGATCAGTGCTTTGAGTACTTTTTGTGGGGATCCTTTTTGATTCGGGTCATATGGGACTATTCTTCCGCTCGTTGGCGTCCTGATCCTTTCTGCAAGACTCACAAGAAGAGACAACCAGTCCTTTCATTTGTGTTAGCTGCTATTCCCTGCAGAATTGCTGGCTCAGACCTAGAGAATAGGTGCTTGATCATCAAATGTTTGCCCACTACGAACATACTCTGATGGATAACGGACTGAATCCTGCCAACGTAGTTCTACCTTAATCAAATCCTTGCGAGATTCAGCTGATTTGGTGTGAACATAGCTTCCTTTTGCGAAGCAACTATGACAGAGTTCCCCCAAACAATTTGACCAAGAGGCTGACGGGAATAGTAGGGTGCACTTTGTTTTTTACCACAACAGTCTGCTCTCACATACAGTCCTTTCCCTCGTTCTATTTGCTCTTCCGTTTGTCCTGAAGGCCATGGGGTGAGAACGGTGCGAGATGATCCAACGGTCCTCAATTTCATTCTAAACTTGCAGCAAAACAACTACTATATGCATGGTCGAGGGGCCAGTTCACTGATGCTTTCCCTTGTCTCGTTATGGTGCTGAAAGAAACAAAAGGTGCCAGGACCTTCCAGAACATGGGCAAGATGTCTGGTTGCCCTTTTTTGACAACATTTTGAGATTGTCAGAGAAACACACACCTGAAGACTTGCTTTGGTGCAAAACACATTTTCATCCGAGAAACGCTCGAGGTGAGGCTCGGTCATGTCCTTCGACCTCGGCTCTAGAGGAGACGAGAGAAGTGAGACAAGCGTCAATGCTTTTCACAGTCAAGTACACTCCCTGAAACAATAATGGACACAAGCATAGCATAGCCCGAAAGGATATCCATTTCCTCTGAGTGTAGGAGAAGCTATGATGGCTCAATGTAACGTACCATTTTTCATTCCGACATGCCTATTCTTTTGCCGAGATGCTTTGTCTTTCACGGAGAGATGTTGGTAGGTCTATGTGGCCAAAGCATTCAAACGTCGAGTGGCGTTCGTCGTTCAGGACTGGCCGCACGACGTCGAGAGGAGCCCAGAAACGAGGCCGTGCCGGAGAGGAGGTGGAGCCTTGTTTGCTCGCCTGAGGCTGAAGAGTTTTCTTCGTTCTGTAGGCCGTAGGCTCCTCCAAGAAGTGGAAAAGACACATCCACTTCTGATCTGGTTAATTGGGGGATCTCTGTACAATATAAACCTTCCAGATCAGAAGCTCGCCTCTTCTGTAGCCCTAGAATTTCCAGGAGGACTTGGGGCAACACGTCGTGGGAATTGGCAGAGAAGATGTAGATGTTCTACCAGATGTAGACATGGAGCTTTTGAAAGAAGGATGGTCTTGTGAGTGTGGTGGGTCTCGTTTCTCTAATACAAGCAGGTAGGTACTGGCCTTCCACAGCATACAATAGCATCCTCGATTCAGGATCTGGCTCCTCGTAACAAGTATGAGAGGTTCAAAGAAGATGGTGTTCTCAACTTCCCAAGCCCCCTTCTGGTGGCAGGCAGGTCAATGTTTGTCCGTTAGGCGTTGTAGGGTGTGATGATGTGTGATGTTTTGTGGAGAACCTTCTGGAAAAACCTTCTTGTGCCGCTGCTGAGTGAGCGCCCAGGGGGAGACCAGCTTTGAGCAGAGCATCAAAGCAAAGAGCTTAGTCATCGGCCTACCCTCGGGTCTACCGTCGGGTCACGACCGTTGGCGGTTTACGCCCGCTGTTACGACGGTTTGGGGCGTGTAGTTTTGTCTACTCGCCCGTGCGCAGCTAGAGTTCAGAAGAAGACATTTCAGAATAGGATGTGCACATTCTGAATCATTTGCCCTGGGTTTGGTCATTGGCTGTGCACATTCTTTTGTGCAGTGCAGCGTTGTTCTCCTCTTGAGGCAAACATCCAAGAGATTCAGGATGGGAATTGGACTTTTGTGGGCGTGTGGGTCAGGTAAAGCATCTTAAAGCCATGCAAATGTACTGTAGCTTGGAGGAATGCTCATCTATTTAATGACCCAGACCCACCACAAAAGTATAGCATTTGACGGTGTTGCTTGGCCTTCCTCATCCAGAAGATGGTTGGCCAAGCTTTTGTTTTCAGCTTTTCCTTTGCTACTAGTAACTAGTAGCGTTCTTGTTACTAGTAGTAAGAATGCTCCTAGTAGCGATGCCAGGAGCCACTAATAGTGTCCTTGCTCCTAGTAGCGATGCCCTTTGCTCCGAACGTAGCTTTCGTAGCTTCTTGCTCCTTGTCTTCGTGAGGACTTGCTTCACCGAGCCAATGAGCAACTTGAGCAGTCGCAGAGGAAGCGTTTGCGAAATGATGGCCCTTTATCCCATGCTGGACGAGTGGGTCAGGGTTTGTTGATATCTAGAGGGACCGCAAATAGGACTAGCTTCTCTCTTAAGTGCATTGTGTACCCATCTCTCTGGTAAATTTATCGTTCAGGGTTGTGTTCTCTTCTCTGTGAAATTGTTGATATCTGGTACCAACTAGCCACTAGCCTCAAACAGCATATTGAACATTATTGAATTATGTAACATACTTCAAGTTATGATCCGCCAACATCCTGACCCGAATGGACGTTTAGGTACGTTAGTTCTGGCTTGATCTCAGTTCCTCAGGAGCTACCTCTCAAAGCGAAACACGGAGAGCTTGGAGGGCTTCCTAGAACGAAGTCAACAGCTTTCGCAGGCGCAGCTGGAGCAGTTTGGGTAGGACCTTTGGGAAGAGTTTAGGAGTTGAATTACGGCCCAAGGAGCCAATTCGTTGTCTTTGAATCTCTAAAAAACAGTTTGCCATCAATGTCCTTGCCCTCCCCAAACAGAGATTCTCCTTTGGGATCGTTTTCATTCGAATCCTTTGGATCGACCCGTGCCTTCCTCCCAGGCGACGCCTCGATCCGACCGGTCCCGAGGGTCGCTCCGAGACCGGTCGCGCCAACCGAGGAGACGGAGCGGCTCTTCCGGGATTGGACGGTGCACCTGGCCGGTGAACCGGGCGAGAGGCTGATCAGGGGTGAGACGTGGCAAAGCGGTGGTGCGATCAGACGGGTGCGAGCAGCGATGCAGTGGGACAAGCTGAGATGGGATTGATCGGAGTGTGAGTTTGTCAACATGGCCAAGCTTCACTTGTACTTTACAGCTTCTTCAAAGTGAACTCATCCTTTTTGTGTGAGCCCATACCAGGAATACACCTTCATCTTCATCTTTGGGATGAGACCAATAAACAGACCTGGGTAGCCAAGGGTGCCTTTGGTGTTGCTGAAGTCCCTGAAGGCATCGAAAGAAGTTCTCCTATGAGAAGCTTCAGAGGGCCTTTGAACAGGAAGTCTCCCATGTGAAGGACCTGCCGGCACTGAAGCTGGCATTGTATCGCTGAAAGCACAACTGTGTTGATTCGGGATGGCTATGCAGTGCATCTTCGGCACTTGGGCAGAAGTAGGCTAGGATGCAAGGCTTGAAGCTTCAAGGTTGGACCAGTTTCACTTGCACGTCGTTCACAATTGTTGATATGTTTTATCATACAAGACGTGGAGGGGGAAGGGAGGCGCGGTTTCAGTATGATAGGGTGAGCCTCCCTGAGAGATGCCATCGCGGATTGAAGCACAGGTCCTTTTGTATGGCTCATGCACTCCTTTTTGAACCTTCGTGGTCAACCAGAAAATATCCGCAGACCAAACAGTGACCATGCCCGTGGGAGGATGTGGCTCGGAAGACCGTGGCTGCAAAGGAGGCTCAGGCAGGGTGGCTCAGATTGGACGAATGAGTAGAGACATGACCATCTCACGCTTTTTAAACAAAATGCAAACACTCCACAGTCCACAGTCCGCAAGGTTGTCATTTTGTGAAAAAGGCTTCCCTAGTCCAGGAGAACGGGGGATGTCGAAAAGGATGTCTGCTGAGACCCCCCTGATCTTTGTATCCCTTCCAGCCTTATAGTTTACATCTTCTGTTGACGATCCTCTCGGGCACCGCCGGACGTTGCAGGCCGTGAGCAGCCGTCAGCTCCGACCGAAAGGCGCTCGTCGGGGTCGTTCGGGGGTTGATGTCGGTCGGTGGTAAGCTGAGACGAAGACCCAAAAAGCGGTTTGGGTCTTGTTGCATCTTGTGGACTGGGTTTCGGTTGTTTGTGGCTGAACCCACACCCAGGTCTCAGGTAAACCAGCAGCGGGGAATTCAACAACACCAAGTTAAAGACGACTGGGCATTCTGTGGCTTCGCTTCTGGCGTTACCAGGGCATACTTCCTCTCCATCCGATAATATGAAGTATCTATGAACAAGTTGGATTGACAGCGTGTTGGTCTGTTGATGGTGCTGAAAGCACTACTGACTCATTTCATTCCGCAACCAGAATCAAAGACCCACGAATTGCCAAGAGACGCATCGCTGAATCGCTGAATTGCCTCAGCTCGCAGAATTCCGTCCTGTCTGTGATGAGCAGAGTGAAAGCTTGCTGTGTCCAGAAACAGATGCAGGGATCCCAAGTAGCAGATGCGATGGCTGGATAGACGGAGCGCTGGTGTAGTCTTGGACAAGATTCAGAATCTTTTGATTGTTGCATGCCCTGTTAACGTCACGGGAATGTGGATTGTCTAGGCAGACAATCAGGTACAGTTGAAACCCAAGTTGCCTATACAGCTGGCCGAAAGCACATTGCCAAAGAGACATGCGTTGACTAGTTGACACACCAACCACCCTGACAGCTTCTTCTGTGATGCTTTCCTTGTCAAGCAACATCGCCCTTTTAACATTCCAACCTAGAAGCAATGGCCTCCAACCTAGAAGCGATAGCCTCCAACCTACTAGCGATGGCCACCTCGGACATGCTTGACATTCCAGGTTGAGCACGGTCTGCATGAGGAAGTGCAATGTCAGGCGGAGAGATCGCGGAGAGAGGAAGCTCCCTCAAGCGAAGGTTTTTGCCTGTTTGATCCAAGCTAATGGCAGGATCTATCAGAGAATGATGCCCCAGTCGATCCATCAACTGCACCTCAGAATATCGGGATTGGTTGACACATGTTGACACCAAACCATGGTGGTTGAACATCTTCCGGTACATTCACTTTCTACGTTCGGCTTTGTTTTACTCCTTCGCAGCATAAAGCACACCTCTGCGGTTGCTGCAGGATGCGGTGATTCGGAGCAGGAGCCCTGCGCTGCGCTGTTCTTTGGGTCCACAGAGACACAACAACCGAGCGCTCCTCCTAGCAGCTGGCAATACTGCACCGATTCCCAAAGCGCCTTTCCAACATTGGTTTCACATGGGAATCAAGCAATTCTTGAGCTCGATCCAAGCATTCCGATCGCGCAGGATCGCGCAAGAACGGGAAGAGGGCATCAGGTGCGGGTTTGACTGGTCGATGAGGCTCCCATTCATGAGACTGATGCAAGCAGCTTGATCACAACCCCCCCACTCGAGAGGAACATCGAAGGGATAGAGAATGGTCTGAGCCGTTTTGACCACTCCGGCAAAGTGAGACACTTGCCCTGTCCATTTTTCCGCCTAAGCCGGGTGTCGTCCAAGACCTCTTCGTAGAAGTGCCCCTCACCTTGTTGCCCTTTGCCTCAGGCGAATTCAGAGCCAGGTTCATGAGGTGAACCAAATTTTCCGAGATTTAGCCTCTTGGCCAAGTGAACGAAACCTTTGAGGAGAAGAGACGCACTTATCTTCGTGCTATTTTGCTGGTCGACACTGTGGGACCCCTTTGAGGAAGAGAGAGAGAGAGAGAGGGTGGAAAGGCATTGCATCAACTCCTCAAATGTATTTTTGTTGAAGAACCAGAGGGTTCAATCTTTGGCGAACGGTTGAAGCCTATTCTGACCAATAAACTCAGATGGACAGTGAAGAGGTGAGTTGTAAGGTGCATGATCCCATCCTGTGGACTTGCTAGCTCACTGAGGCCTCCATCGTCCACGAGCAGGGGAATGACATCGAAAGTATCGACTTCTGGGCAGAATTTGACTTGAAAGGATGGATCTTCAGATCAGGTTGGAATATGCTTACCTTCCAGCCGGCTCCAATTCTTTTTGCAGTCGTTTTGGTCTCTTGGTTATGGTCTGCAAGAGGTAGACCTCCGAAGTTCTTGACTTGATCCCGAGATTGACCCGCCCAAGATTCTTCTCCACACCCGAGAAGCCACTGGGGGGACGGATGATTTCAGTTTCTCCTTTTGACCAAGCCGAGGAGCACACCGCTGACACGGCTGCTCGAGAAACCAAGCAGGCTTGGCTTGGGGTGTCATTTTGCATGATCGTCAGACATCCTGATTGGGTGAGATTTTGTGCTTGCTGTAAGTCGGTGCATGAGCCTGCGTGTCTACAGCTCTGCCAGGCTGCATCCGAGTTGCGGAAAGCGGCAGATCGACAACGAGGGTCTGCCAGGGAAAGAGAGTCTGTCTGGGTGGTTTTGGCACAACCAAGGATGCACGTTTTCGAGTGATCTCGGAGAGCAGGAGTCCGAAGCGCAAATTGACCTTTGACCAAGAAGGGTGCAAGGGTGCTGGACCAAGGAAGTTTTCACCTGGACACAGGAAGTGAAGACTATCACCACCCAGAGCGGTGCTCCAAACCCCCATTCAATCTGGCAGGTCACGTGAGCGGCTGTGCTGCATGCTCACAGCAGCAGTTGTACTGCTTTTCCTGCCACTCGGCCCACAGAGGGTGGAAGTGGAAGAAGGTTAAAGCCAAAGTCCTAAGAGTCGTAGTGTATTTGTTTCGATCGATCTTAGAAAGAACATAGTATTGATAGTTGGTGAAACTTGATTCATCGCTTCCGTCATGCTCAGGCAAGTCGGTGTGCATCCGGAGAGTTTCCTAGTTTGGCACCGTCAAGCAGCAGCCGTTCCAGTCATTTCAGATCCTCGTGGCTCGTGATGCTGGAGAGCCATCTCAGTCGTTCTGCAAGTCAGCCGAGGATCGTGCTGCCCCACATGTCCGCTCCTCAGATTGGGGAAAGCTGGCACAGCCTGTGAGGGGAAAGCGGGCAAATTCAATTGAAGGTCCAAGGTTCCAGCAAACTAGATGAGTTCCTTGTGGTAGGCGATAGAGTGTTCGACAAATCCAGATGGGAGGTAGCCGCAAGCTGGTAGCTTGAGAGTTACAATCGATTGGAGTTTCTTCAATCTTCCACAGAGAGTTTCAGACCTCCCAACCTCCCAAACCCCACGTTGATCGGGTACCTATGAGAAGACGACATGACCATTGAGACTGACCTGAAAAGACTGCTCCACCTCAGAGGCACATGTCGGAGTTCCGCCGATTTGAGCACGCGCCCAGCAGCATGAGCAAGGTGAGCAGCAGCATGAGAGAGCTCAAAAGGTGGATCCAAAGAGTTGCAAACTCGAGCATTTGTTTCTCTCTGATCGTTTTGAGCAGCATGTTTCGGAGCCTGTTACTCGTGGATGAACCTTGCATGTTTCGGAGAGCTACTGACTTCGACGAGCAAGCGAGCATTTCCTCCTTCGGCGACCAAACTCGCCAGGAGGACCCTGCGAAGCGAATCTGAGTCTCACTGGTGCCCCGTGGATGCGTTGATGCAATGGCTGGGCTCCCTAAATCAGCACAAAATCGAGACTGGTCGAAAACTGGTAGATTACACATGGTTACATGTACCTTTAACTGTTGGTTGATGCAAAGATTTCTGCAAAAACAGCAAATCAAATCTGTTTGGAGCTCTGATTTGGGGAAGAACCACTTCTTGAGCTGCCCCAAGGGGGGTTGCCACCGAGAGATGGTGTTTAAGAGCCCGGGTTGGGTCAAGACAGACCTTGACCTGGTAGACGACCCTTTCATGTGCTTTTGACATCGAGCATATTGATGAAAAGGATCACATCCATCATCCATTAAAGGGATCGAAGTCGCTAAGGCTTGTTTTTTGAGGCAAACAAACGAAGGGATCAAAGTGCAAGCACTACTGACATGCAGACTGTCGCCAGATGTGCGCTGTAGCCGGTGTGACCCTAGCTGCCGCTGGACCAACGAAAAGCGCAGAGCCACGCCAGTGCTCGGATGGTCAACGGACGACCCATTCACTCAGTCTCCGGACTCCTTGGACTTGAATCTGCGAGTGATTCTTTGTTGCATCTGTAAATTAGCATTGTAGAACAACAGGAATCCAGGAACAACCGACAGAACAACACCCCACAGAACCTGCGAATCTGAAGAGATTCACCAGTAAATCCTTTGATTGATTTAACAAAAACAGCTGACTGTCCAGGCGGGCATGTACTCCAGCCAAATCTGCTGCTTGTCATCCTATACCCCTTGCTCGTTTGCTTGTCCACAACCCCTATTACCATCAGAACAAAAGTCGGATTCCCTTTCATCATGTCTCCCAAACAGTTCAATGGTCCCACACCGGGCTATTTTGGACGGTTTTTTTGGACCCTGATGAGATGACACATGTTTGACCCCACATTTTTTGACCCATCACTCGCCAGCACAGCCTCTATTGATCCACAAGTCAGTGCTGAGCTTCCTTCGGTTGCTGAGATTTTGAGATCAAGGAGCCATGACAGCCAGAGTGGGACAACATGCTGCTTGAAAACCGCACAGCTTTGAGATGCACTGCGCAACCGCTTTCGGTGCATCTAGACTGCACATATTGGAATTTGTTGCAGAAGATCCCCATAAGAGAGGACAATACACTTCTATCTTTGGGCCTGTCCGGCTTCGCTTCTGCCGGCGTTTGCAGTGTAAACTTTTTGCACATCGTTGCTGCCATGGACTGGGTTCATGCCTCAGACTCTTTGACTCTTTGATCGTGTTGGTGCAGCCGGTGTAATTTACATTTCACCGACTACGACTACTGGTCTTCTTTGTTAGTGTTCGTGCTTTCGGTCAGCTAGTGAAACGTCGTTCTTCGGTCTGCCTGAGGCATCCAGCCGTGCCAAGACTAGCAGGCTTTGCCGACGGTTTTGCGGTTATCACTTTAGTTGAGGGCGTTGGCCTATAATTAATTTCAACGTTTTTCACAACTCGTTTGCTGGTTAAACAACTTGGTGATGCTAACCTTTCCCTGAGTCAAGAAACTACAGAGGCAGACCCAAATCGCTGGATCGCAGGAAGCTGCTGTAGCCATAGCAGGAAAATGTTGCAAAGCCTTTGTAAGACAAACTCTTGCAAGGTTCAGGGAACCATTCACTCACCGCGGAACTGAACTTGACCTAGGATCAACCCTCTCATTGTGTGTATGACGGTGCACACGGGAGGTATGACACGGAGGCCGAGCGAAGGCCGGTGAAGCCGCATCTGGCGCCGCAAAAGGCGGGGATGGGAGGTAGTCGAAGCTAAGTCGATCAGGTTTTTTCCAACAACTTCGTTTTCACACACTTTTTGTCTTGCCACGTGGCTACTAGGTTCAGGTGAAGTGTCCAAACTATCCATTGATTGAGAAGCAAACCACGTTTTCTTTATTTTTAATATTGCTATATTTTCACTTTTTGAGCTTTGCAAAAAAAAGGGAGTTCTTTTCGATGACACTAATCTAAAGCAGGTTAGTGCAGGTTAGTGCAGGGCACTGGATGAGAAGAAGACCTCGCCATTGGAGCAGACTTTTGCGCACTGCTTTTGTTGAAGAGATCCACTTAGATGAAACATCTGTTTTTTTTCGTCTTCCTTCTGAGCAGCAGCAGCAGCAGAATTTCCACCCTGTCGCCAGGGCATCTTAACCACATCAAACAACGGGGATCATCCGGCATATCCTTGGTGACAGAAAAACCTCCAGCATGAACACCGATTGGTTGGGATGCCCACGCGAGAGTCCTCGATGCCGAGGCGTCAGAGCATAGTACGGGCTTCACATCGCAAGTGGCCGGGATGATGGCTGACAGTCGGCAGCCTAAACATCGGGCTGATCTTTTTGGATTTACGGCTGGAAAAGGATTCAACGCCGCAACAACTCCTTGCATTTTCCCTGAGAAGGCCATGAAGTGATCAGGTAAGGGGCTAAATCACTCGGTGACCAACGTCCTTTGCCAGCAAAAGGAAAAACTGTTTGGACAAGGAGCTTCGGCATGTGATGCACATTTTTGGTGATCAATGGAGGTGCAGGTACTTCCAACTTTTGCCACTTCAAATCATCCGGCACTGATCATACCATGCCAACAGCTTTGTTCGACCCAGTCCCAGACTGCATGTGCCAATTCCGCATACATCAACCCTGGCCATTACAGTAAACAGCCGTGTTTCGTCAACCCATGCCTGCCGAACTTGATCCAAGGGGTGGACCCCGTGGAGAGATCCCCGATGTGTCCGACACATCAGCCCATCTTCTTGAGGCATCGTGGACAAGGCCATCAAAGACCGAACTGCCCAGCTTCAAAACGAGGGACCGTGCCTCAGAGGGTGTTCTACTGGTTCAAAAATCACAGACAGAGACGTTCAGGAAGTCTGTGTTTCTTTGTTTTTCCCCAAACTGTTTACTGTTGTTGGGGTTCTATCTTCGAAAGAAAAGAGCTGGCCACACTCACTGGCCGTGCCCCTGAACTCTGTGGCTGGGCTCCGTGGCTGAGCTCTGTGGCTGGGCCTTGTCCTCCTCCGCGCCCCTGAACTCTGTCAACTCTGTGGCTGGGCTCTGTGGCTGGGCCTTGTCCTCCTCTTGTTCTCTTCTTGGCCGCGCCCCTGAGCTCTGTCAACTCTGTGGCTGGGCTCTGTGGCTGGGCCTTGTCCTCCTCTTGTCCTCCTCTTGGCCGCGCCCCTGAGCTCTGTCAACTCTGTGGCTGGGCTCTGTGGCTGGGCCTTGTCCTCCTCTTGTCCTCCTCTTGGCCGTGCCCCTGAACTTTGTCGACTCTGTGGCTGGGCTCTGTGGCTGGGCCTTGTCCTCCTCTTGTCCTCCTCTTGGCCGCGCCCCTGAAGTTTGTCGACTCTGTGGCTGGGCTCTGTGGCTGGGCCTTGTCCTCCTCTTGTTCTCTTCTTGGCCGCCGCCCCTGAGCTCTGTCAACTCTGTGGCTGGGCTCTGTGGCTGGGCCTTGTCCTCCTGTTGTCCTCCTCTTGGCCGCGCCCCTGCACTCTGTCAACTCTGTGGCTGGGCTCCGTGGCTGGGCCTTGTCCTCCTCTTGTCCTCTTGGCCGCGCCCCTGAACTCTAGAACTCTGTGGCTGGGCTCTGTGGCTGTGGGCCTTGTCCTCCTCTTGGCCGCGCCCCTGAACTCTGGCAACTCTGTGGCTGGGCTCTGTGTCCAGGCCTTGCACTACTGTTGTCCTTCTCTTGCCCGCGCTGGGCTCTGTGTCCAGGCCTTGCCCTCCTGTTGTCCTTCTCTTGCCCGCGCCCCATGAACTCTGTCAACTCTGTGGCTGGGCTGTGTGGCTGGGCTCTGTGTCCAGGCCTTGTCCTCCTCTTCTCCTCGTTGTCCTCCTCTTGTCCTCCTCTTGGCCGCGCCCCATCGGTTACGTCTCTTAGCTTCTGTAGGGGTAGGGTAGCCGCCTTCGCTTCTTGTGCTGTTGCGAGGTTGGTCACTTTGATCACACTGATTCGCGGAGCCGTCCCCACCCTCCGGCTGGGTCGTGAAGGGTGCAGGCCGCTTGGTACCAGTCCTCTCAAGGTGGGTTGATGCCGAGAGAGAGAGACAGAAAGAAAGAACGAAAGAAAGAAAGAAAAGAAAAGAAAAGAAAAGAAAAGAAAATAAAAAAATAAAGAAAGAAAGGAAAAGAAAGAAAGAAAGAAAAGAAAAGAAAAGAAAAGAAAGGAAAAGACGGAAAGAAAGAAAGAAAGAAAGAAAGAAAGAAAGAGAGAAAGAGAAAGACAGCAGGGCGAGCTTTGGACGGCGCGCTCTGGCGCGCTCTGAAATACACTCCAGAAAGGCGCGCTCGCAGCGCGCTCTGCAGAGAGAAAGACAGAGAAAGAGAAACTTAAAGTGAAAGAGAGAGAGAGAGAGAGAGAGAGAAAGAAAGA